CCAGGTGTTAGAACACACAAGGAGAGAAGGATTTCTAAATACGCGTGAGGATGAGTATGGTGAAATGCCTACAAGAGGACACCTGAACGGAGTCTGAGGAAGAGGGTGTTACGATGACAGCATGGCAGCACACTGGCATTGAGGAACACCAACCAGGGAGTAAGCACAAACCAGCCACCAAATAACAAAAACTTAGTATCGTTGGAGGAATAACAATGGGAAGGGGGCAGCTGAGCCAACAAAACAGAAAAATGGATAAAATAATGAAGTCCTTATGAATGCAATATAAATAGGGATAAAAGGCATCCATAAAAGATTTTAAGTTAAGTCCACATAAGTTTGCATGCCTTTAGAAAAAATATTCCTCTGGCTCAAAAGTTGATGGTTTGGAAAAAGCCAGTATTGTAGAGAAATATAAAGGCTTAAAGTAATCCAGGGGAAGAGATGGATGGGTTGAACAAGAAGAGTGACAAGAGGATGCCAGTAGGAAAGATGTTTACCCCTTCCAAAAGATTCAAGAGACCAATTAGATTGAAGGAGATAAGAGGTTTTGTTTTTTTTTTTTTTTTTTAAATACTGAAAGTCTCTGATGTGGAACACTAAATAAATGATGCTAATGAGTGAGATATGGAATGCAAAGAAAACAGGTTTTTATGAAATACTGAATTTATTTTGCTCATGATAAGTTTGATGTGTCTAAGTCAATGGGGTGGTGGGGCAGTGGCATTTGGAAGTATGGATCTAAGGCTTAGGAGAGACAACGTGGGCTGGAGAAATAGACCCGAGAGACAGGCACTTCATACAGGAAAACACAACTTAGGGGAAAATCTATCAAGAGAAAAAAGGGGTGAAAATGGGACAAGGAGAAACAGCAACTCTTAAGGGTCATGCAGCAGAAAGGAGGGCTCCTTCAAAAGAAATATCCAAAGCAACCAGGAAAAAACAACGTAAGGATAGTGACCCTGAAACCAAAGAAGAGAATGTGTAAAACAAGAGTGGGAGACATTGTCACATACAAAAGAGCGAATACTGGCACATTGTCTGTCACATTTAGTAACAAGAGGCCACTGATGATCCCAGACAGAGAAGTGGAAGGGTGGATGGGTCAAGCAATGAAGTACAAACCACACTGAGCCATATTAAGAAGCAGAGGCAAGGGTGGAGGACTGGAAGTGCAGTGAGTACCTTAACAAGAAGAGGGCTGTGAAGGCAGCAAAGAGGAGTGAATAACACTGAGTGCTGTTCTTAGGTGTGTATGAGAGTTTGTTCCCTTTCTTGGGGACCTAGATATGAGTACTGGCTCCACAACATGCTATGTAACCTTGGACATATCATATTATACCATTCAGTTTTCTTGGTTACAAAAGAGGGCTATTCATCTACAGCATAACACTGTATAAGGATTGAATAAGATAATACATGGAAAACTTCAAAGTTTTTTGAAACTTTTCTAGTTTTTGAAACATGACACACACCAAAAAATAGAAATTTATAATTATCATTGTATTTAAACCACCACCAAGTAGAAACTAGAGTCAAGTTAATGGTTCCCACAGGTCCAGAAAGGCAAGATTAGAAATGATACAAGGAGGACCAGTCCAGAAGAGAATGATGCCTCATTGGGAGGTCTTCAAAACTGGTGGGAAGATGAAATCATCAGGGTGACATTACACAAGAGATTTCCAATCTCAGGGCATTTGCTACGGTGAACTATATGTGGCTGCTAACATCCACTGTCCCTGCAGGGCTTTCTGGAGCTCTCACTGACTCTGCACTGATACGTGCTACAAGTGCAGCCCAGTGTTGCTCTAAGAGTTACTTGTGGTTTACAGAGAACATACTTCCACCATGGATTATCATTATATATAAATATATATAGTGCATCCAGTTTCAGTCTTCTCCCTAGCACTTACAAAAATGGCCATCTGGATTCTGTAGAAATCATTAATCTAGCTTTCTCCAGTTCCTATCTGATGGTTCATTCTTCTTCAGCATTTATATACAATGACATTTCCATTGTGTGGATTGGGGTTGAATTCCCTAGCATTCAGAATCCCAGCAACTGCCTTACCCAAATATTCTTAGGGTATTTGGGGCTGTTAGATCTGAAAAAAGCTATTATTAGCCTCAGCTCTATCTCCAGAAGCTTGGTTTCTTAGAGCAGCCCTTTGATAAAATGAGGTGGCCTCACGGAGTCAACTGTATAAGAACAATAATTTTCAGTACTGTCCATTATTCCTTCTTTGTGCAATTCTGTCCCTAAAGCTAAGATTCTCTGTACCTCTGCTGGATACCATATGTTAAAGCAACCAATACTGTTCAATAACAATTTCAAGGACAGGCTGCATTTTTCTTATTATTATCAGTGAGTAATTAGTGTGCAAATCTAATAGTACTTTTCCAATATCAAAAGTGGTTTTGGGCCGGCGCCGCGGCTCACTTGGCTAATACTCTGCCTGCGGCACCAGCACCCCCGGTTCTAGTCCCGGTTGGGGTGCCAGGTCTGTCCCAGTTGCTCCTCTTCCAGTCCAGCTCTCTGCTGTGGCCTGGGAAGGCAGTGGAGGATGGCTCAAGTGTTTGGGCCCTGCACCCACATGGGAGACCAGGAGGAAGCACCTGGCTCCTGGCTTCGGATCTGCGCAGTGCCGGCCATGGCGGCCATTTTGGGGGTGAACCAACGGAATGAAGACCTTCCTCTCTGTCTCTCTCTAACTCTGCCTGTTAAAATAAAAAAAAAAAAAAAAGTGGTTTTGTGGGGCCAGCACTGTGGCATAGCAGGTAAAGCCATGTACGCAGTGCCAGCATCCCATATGGGCACCAGTTCGAGTCCCAGCTGCTCCACTTCCAATCCAACTCTCTGAAAGCAGAAGATGGCCCAAGTCCTTGGGCCCTTGAACCCATGTGGGAGACCCAGAAAAAGCTCCTGGATCCTGCCTTCGGATTGGCTCAGCTCTGTTGCCATTTAGGGAGTGAGCCAGTGGATGGAAGACTTCTCTCTCTAGACTCTGCCTCTCTATAATGCTGCTTTTCAAATAAATAAATAAATCTTTTTAAACAAAAGTGACTTTGTATAACTACTGCCCAATCCACCTTAGCATGTCTGTGTGTATAGACAATACATACATACATATACACATATATAGTGTTTACAATAACCACTAATTAACAGCTGGAACAAATCTAACAGTAAAAAATAATAAAGTATTCAAGAAAGCTTCTTTATTTTTTGCCTATGCTTCAAAACCAAAGCTGTATTCCATGCAGTAACCAAACTGATGATGTAGGGTTCTGTAATGAGAATCTTTTCCAAACGATCCTAAAATCTCAAACCATTGCACCATACTAGAATCATTCAACACTTTCATAGACCATCTTTCAAAATGTCTTAGTCTCTGAGCCTGGTCAGTAAACAGTCATGTACAAGTCAAAGTCACACACTTTACCTGGTGGAGAAGCTGCATGCGAGGGATCACCATAGTGCCCATAATGAGGTGGAGAAAGGCCTATTCCAGGCTGGGACTGGGAGTAGGGGGGTGTGGCCACATATCCTTGTTGACTCATCATGAAACTATCATTCCAAAGAACAGTTCTACAAAAATCCCCTGCAACAGAAAAAACACACACACACACACACACACACACATCAACAAAAGTTTTAGTCACTGGGTGCTACTAAAACAAACAAAAAAAACTGTGAATAAATGCTTACCATAATTTGAGGAAAAATACAATTATCAGGTACATGAGATACCCTCATATCATACAACATAATATATATTATTACACCATACAAGGTGTAACCGTAGCTCTCTAGAACTTGGTAAATCAGTCCTGGGCAAATTCTCAGGCATGAAACCTGACTAACAATTGCCAGCCACTTGTTCACTGGACACTTGAAGTATTTCACAGTCTCCCATATGGGTTCCTACTGTTTTATTCTTTGGGTTCCTAGGGCCACTTTTTGCCACAGAGCACATCGTGCTTACTACTGTAACTACAGCAGTCTGCTCTCAGATTCTTGACATGTCTTTTTAGCACAATTCCAATTAGTAACTTTGAAACAGAAACATGAGCCAACAAATACAGCAGAATATAAAGTTGATAAAGGACTTATTTTATGAGTCATAATTTGATCAAGCCAGGTGGCAGCTGAAACTATTTCCAAGTTGTCAGCAGTTTCTCAAGAGAACAGAATTTCTTCCTGACTTAAATGATATCACACCTCTAAGAACACATGCTCCTATATTTAAGGAGCTAAGAAAAAAAAGCGTAATTTCATGTGTAGCACATACATTCACAAATAACTATAATAAGCCCACCTTGATTCTACTCAAAACCCAAACATCAATTTGCTGTAAGCGTCCCATTTTCCCAGGTTTTCACCAAGTAAGAAAATTTTCATTATTAAAAAAAAAATTAAAAACATTTTATAACAAGCCAGGAACTGCCCTGAATGCTGGCAAGAGTACTGGGTTTTGATTCTACACCTGTCAGTACTCAGCGGTGTGACACAGAATCAGTGGAAGAATCTCTTTGGGCCTCCATTCCCTCTTCTACAAAATGAAGCCTCCAACAGCCTCTCCAGATAGAAGACACTGAGTCTACAGTTTCTTGCCAATTTCTCCACCCAGCACAGACATATTCTTTATTCTTTTATTTACTGCCTTGTAAGATAAGATTGCATGATATCTGCTAAGATTTGGAGTCTGCCTATATTCAAGAAGTGGCATTTCAACTTTCAAAATGTCAAGTCTAAAATTCATAATTTGCTTTCAAGTCATCTCAAATTGTGAATTTCCAAAAATCAAATCAACCAAGTAAAACCGTTATGAAATCACTTTCTTTTCGCACACAACTAAGGAGCAGCGCGGCCGGCAAAGGCCTTGTGGTCCTCCTGGCTCCAGACAACACTTTTTCCCTCCTCCCACTCAGCGGAGGGAGACGTGGCAGCCTGAGCTTTGGTCGAGCTCATCCAACCAAGCACATCTCGCAAGCGGGCACCAGCCCACCTACGCGGCAGCCTGTTGCTGAGCGAAAAGAAAAGGCAGGCGGGGATGTTCGCGGCGCAGAACAGGAAGCAGCCCGGCCCCTCGGAACCGGTCCCGGGAGGGCTGTGCTTCCCCACGCAACCCAGTCTGCCACGTCAAACTTCCTCACTGACGGCACCAAGTTAGAGAAACCTGACTCAGCTGCAGGCGGCGACATGGCAGAAAGCCACTTGACCCCGGCAGGCCGGGACCCAAAGCCGGGGCGCGCGGCTCCCAGAACGACCCCTCACCCCAGGCCACGGTCTCCCGGCAACTGTAGCCATGGTGCGCTTCTCCCCTTGGTGCAAGTTTGGATTTGGCCCAGTCACTCTCACTCCCAGGATGTCCCGACGCTTAAAGACACAGTTGCCGTTTTTACTGTGAATATTTGGAATATCCCCTTCCTCCAAGAAAATGAAAATTTAAGTGGATTGCGGAGACAGTGACACCGGCACCCGTGGCGACCTGGCGGTTCCGGCATCCCCCGGCGTTAAGTGGGGGCGGGTAAAAAACTCCCACGCCCACCTCCCCCATCCCCCGGCCCATTATTAAACTGCACTGAAAAGGCTAAAGAAGCAAGTGTGCAGTCTCCCCTCGCTGGCCCTGCTGCAGGTGGGCATCCAACCTCTCGGGCCGGGTACCGCTCCCGGGTCCGGCGGTGCCTGGGAGAGGGGGCTGTCCCTCCTCAGCACGTCCGCGCAGGGCGAGGCATTACCTGGTCCTAGTCCCGCGCCTCTCCCGTACACTGCTGGGCATCCGAGAGTCTGCCTCGCGCCCGCAGCCCTCGGTGCTGCCGCTGCCCTCCGCTGCGCCTCTTCCCTTGCGCGGTGTCGGCACAGGCTCTTCGGACGCACGGAGTTGCAGCTGGGCTGGGAAGTGCCACGTCAAACACTCCCCGGCTGCGCGCGCCCGGGCCGAGGTTCCGACCGGCCGCCGCGCGCCCGCCTGCGCACGCGCACTGGCTCCCGCGCGGCGGGCCGGGGCGGGGTCGGGGCGGAGCCTAGCTGCCGGGGCCGCGCTGGGGCTGAGTGACCTCCCTCTTTTTTCGCCTTTTTCCGGTTGTTTTTTTTCCCTGTGTTTTTGTTTCTTCCCCCGTCCCTTCCCCTCTCAAGCCAAGGGCTTTGACGCCGTTGCTAAATCAGAGCAATGGTTTCGCGGTGGAGCCTCGTGGGAGGGAGAGGAGCGCGTGCCTCGGGTTCATTCATTTTACTGTTCAACAGGTTGCCGCTGTTCATTCATTACGTTATTACTTGAATAACTGCCGATACACACAGGTCCATGACGTATTCGTGCAGCACCAGGCAGCCTGGCGACATGTGAGGTAGGAGGGAGAACGGATACCCCTGCCGAGAAGTGGGGGCCGAGGTAGCAGCGTCTCCAGGGAAGCTGGGATGCTAACGTGCTGTATCCTCCCGGTGCATAGCCCAGGGTGGCTGATCACAAACCCAAACAGCCTGTAGCTCACTGCCCTGTGAGAAACCCTTGAGAAATGAAGGCAATCCCTGTGAAACCTGGGACTTGGCCTCTGCATCTCAATCAGGACCATCTGGCTGGTTTCCCACCCACTTGGCTCAAACATTTTTTTTAAAGATTTATTTTATTAATTTTAAATAGAGAGGTAGAGAGGTCTTCCATCCTCTGGTTCACTCCCCAAGGCCACAAAGGCAGGAGCAGAGACCATCTGAAGCCAGAAGCGAGGAGCTTCTTCCAGTTTCCCACATGGGTGCAGGGGCCCAAGGACTTGGGCCATCTTCTACTGCTTTCCCAGGCCATAGCAGAGAGCTGGATCTGAAGAGGAGCAGCTAGGACTAGAACCAGTGTCCATATGAGAGGTTTGTGCTTTAGGCCAGGGCTTTAACCTGCTGCGCCACAGCGCCGGCCCCCAAACTTATGAAATAAAACCAGCCCAATGTTTTTTTTTTTTTTTCTTTTCAAAATGTACTTTCTTCTTGGCTACCAGAACTACATAAATAAAAGCTACTTACCATTGAACTGCCAGGTAAAAAACTTATCCAGAGATCTTGCCACTGCTAGGAATGCTACATGAATTGTGTGTGAATTTTCAGGCATTTCAGCACTGCAGAGTTTTGGTCCCTTTCCCCACTCATAAATTTCGGCTCTGGTCAGGTTTGAAAATGTTGTTTTAAGTCATTCTTATATTCTCAACATGGTAAAAATGTTTGCTAGAGGTTTAGAAAGTTTTGGCCTGTGCTGAAGGAGTTTTTCTATCACAGCTGTATCCAAAGAGAAGCGTGACAGTAATGACAAGCACAGGACATGATAGAAACAGTCACAGTGTATGATGAGGTGGTTGGCTTGTGCCTCTCTAACACTGTTAAATTTGAGTTGCTCAGGGACCAAACTTGTCTGGAAAAAGAATGTGGCTTCAGTTTTGAGACAGTTTGGAAGCTGGAAGGGACTTTTCAGGTGTTAAGTGTTCAACTCCATAATAGACTCCATAATAGACTGAATGCAGTCTATTTAATAGGTTAAGAAACAGGGTAATTCAGAAAATGGCTTAGTAGTCTTAAACCTAGCTGGAAGCCATGCCTTCTGATTCTAATTCCAAAGCTCCTCACTTCTATTTTTTTCTTTTATACTATTATGATTTGCTATCTTTATTCACCATTTCTGCCCTTTTTCTCCTGAGAGTGACATAGACAAGTTCTCAAATAACTAAAAATTAACTGTCCTCGCAATTCCACTGGTGATTGGCTAGTGAATCAGAAATGTCTTTTCCTTAGGATGTGGCCTTCTAGGTTCAGTCTAGCTTCCCGTCTTCTGACCCAGGAGCCCACCCCTTCAGTAACTCCTAACCTGGTTCCCGTGGTTCCGTCTCTGGCCTTCACCAATCTCAAGCAGCAGCCTGGAATCCCAGCCTTCCTTGGCCTGATCCGTGTTGTTGCCACCTGAGCTGAGCTTCTGAAGTTCCACATGTAATTAATTTGATCTCCCGGGAAACCATACCCTAATGGAAAACTGACATCACAAGGAATGTCCATGTGCTAAGGTTCTGTGTTCTTTAGGGTTCTTTCTGTTCCTGAGATTCTTTCTGTTCCAGCATAGGAAAGGAAAACAGTTAACCATGCAAATGACTATATAGAATTCTATGGAAGAGATGTCTTGACAGAGCTCTTGGCTCCTTCTAATTGAAAGCCTTTAAGATCAGAGCTACAGGGGCCGGCGTTGTGGTGTAGCAGGTAAAGCTGCCGCCTGCGATGTTCGCATCTCATATGGGCACCTGGCTGCTCCATTTCCAATCCAGCTCCTTGCTAATGGCACTGGGAAAGCAGCAGATGATGGGCCAAGTGCTTGGGCCCCTGCACTCTTGTGGGAGGTCAGGAGGAAGCTCTTGACTCCTGGCTTCAGCCTGGCCCAGCCCCAGCAGTTGCAGGATGGCCATTCTTTTCCATTGTTGTATTCTCAATGGTAGCTTTTGCACCATAATGGAAAGTAGAATAGTTGAGATAGAGGCCCAAAGCCTGCAAAACATAATATATAAACTGCCTGGCTTTCCACAAGAGTTTACCAACCCCTGATCTCATAAGACCTACAGTTATAATGCTGTTGATTATCATTTTAGGAGACACGTAGCCATGGAAATATGTAAGGGACTTGGAAAGTGAAAGCTGTCTCCCTAGTTGGGGTGGCACCTGACCTGAGGCTCTGAGGCCTGAAGTGAATTAGGCTGAAAAGGGAGTAAAGAGCAGGAATAGCATGAATGAGCCATGAGCATGGGCATTTAGAGGTGCTGGGATTCCATTCCCAGGTTTCTAGAGGAATGATATCAGGAAGGTGAGGTATAATAGTTCATGAGGTTCCTCAAGGAGAGACAATAAAAGAGTTTAAGCAAGGGAATGACAAAAACAGGTGTCTTTTCCACATAAAGATCAGTCTAGAGTTAATGAAAGGATGGAGGAAGAGGTAAGAGTGGTGGAGTGACTGTGTTACGATGCTATTACTACCAATCCAGGTAAGAAAACGTGATAACATAGGCAGGGGCAGTGGAGGTGTGAATGGAGAAGGCACACAGGTTGGAAAGCAGTTGATAAGATGGATCAATGGGACTGGGTGTGGAAAGCAGGGGAAGAGAGGCAGAATAAGGGCAACCACTCTCAAAATTTTGGTTTGTCAGATTGGTGGAGGAATGCCATTTACAGGGTAGGGAAACCAGGAGCAATAGCACATTGTGGGAGAGATGGGTCTGGTTTTGGTTGAGTTCAGGAAACCAGGATATCAGAATGGAGTTTTTCAGTTACCTGTTGTTATTTTTAGCATGTAAATACCATATTTTTCTTTGTAACAGAAATTTACCATTATTTGTTTTATATGAGCTGGCTTTTTTGTTTCTATTTCTATTATTTATTATTAGTAAGGAAAAGTTACTTTTAAAGGTATTTATATCAGTAACTGATCAAATTCTCTTTTTTATTGTATTATTTTAAAATTGCAATTTTGGACTTTTGTAGACATAAGCCATATCATCAACACTGCAGTTTTGCTATTCCTGTGCTTTTACGAAGTATTTCTTTTAACCTTTTTTCTTTTTAATTTGAAAGGCAGAGATATAGAGACAGGGACAAACAGAGAAAGATATCTGCTGATTCACTCCCCAAATGCAGGAAACATTTGTCTGGGGAAAGCCAAATCTGTGAACCAGGAACTCAATCCAGGTCTCCCATGTGGGTGGCAGGAATCCATTTACTTACACCATTACCACTTTCTCCCAAATTCTACAATAACAGGAAACTTCAGTCAAGAGCTAGAGCTGGGAATTCAACCCTGGCTCTTCTGATGTGGGATATGAGCCTCTTAACCACTAGACTAAGCCCACTGGCTCCTAAACTTTCTCTTTGCACCCACCATAACCCTCAAAATAATGTTAATTGATAGATTTGATGATTAACATTTCTGTTGGGTTGTGCTCCTAAAGGAAAAGACTTTGGCATGTTTATTTTGAATGATATTTTAGGTAAAGGTACTATGATAGTTAGTTTTATGTATCAACCTTGACTGGGCTGTGATATCTAGCTAAATATTCTTTCTGGTATTTCTATGTGGGTGTTTTTGTAAGTGATTGGTATTTGAATTAATGAACCCAGTAAAGCAGGTGGCCCTCCCCAATGTGTGTGGGTATCATTCAATCAATTTGAGGATCTGAATAGAACCAGAACACAGAGGAAGTTGAATTTGCTCTTTTCCTGACTGCTTGAGCTGGAACATCAATCTGCTCTCAGTGCTTTTGGTTCTCTGGAGAGTCCTAGTACAGGTGGTAAGCATGGCAAATAGAGAAGCACCTCTTCAAACTTGCTCTCCCTTTAGTATAGAGGTTAGAAAGCTAAAGTTAAAAGTTAAAGCTTAAAAGTTAAAAAGCTAAAGCTAAACTTTTTCAGAATTTTTTGCATTGAGACTCAAGTGGTGGCATCATGCCTTTAATATTTACATTTAGGAGGGTATATTTTTTTGAGATTTATTTATTTAAAGGCAGAAAGAGAGAGAAAGAAAGAGATATCTTCCATCTGCTGGTTCACTCCCCAAATTGCCACAGTGACTGGGGTGGTGACAGGCCAAATCCAGGAGCCCAGAACTCCATCTGGGTCTCCCATGTGGGTGGCAGACTCAAATACTTGGGCCATGTTCAGCTGCTTTCCCAGGGTGCATTAGTAGGGAGCTGAATCAGAAGTGGAGCAGCCAGGACTTGTACAAGTGCCAAAATGGGATACTGGTGTTGTGGGCAGCAGCTTAACCTGCCGCATCACAATGCCAGCCTTCTGCATTGAGACATTTTTATTCTTTGGCATTTTCATGTTTCTTCTCGATTTTCTTCACATAATTCACTTGCCCAAGTACACATTTAAGTGGACAAGCCAACTATGTACAACCTGTCAAACCTTGGACCCCTCTTCCAATGAGTGCTTGTTTCCCACTGGATTTACTACTATGTTGCAATTTCATTACTTGATTTCTAAATTTCATTTGCATTCTGTCCCACCTGAAAGCTTTAACAAAGTGGGAAGCCCTGCCTACCTGTTGGTTCTTGTCTTATGTTGATCTTATGTATGTATTCCTTGGCTTTGCTATTTTTCATCCTGTTTGGGTGTAAAAAGTAATACATGTACCTATTACCATGATCTTTTTTGTTCCAACTTAATTATGAAGTAAGCTACTCATTTGTCAAAAGAGGAAACTTCAACATTTCTGAAGCTGCCTTTGCCCTCTCCCTACTCTTGCACTTTAGATGTGCTTCTGCCAGCTGTTCATGTGTTGTAGAGGGTGACTCTCCTTAACATCACCTAGACTTCATGGAATAACCAAATGTCAGAGTAGGCAAATGCTTTAGAAATCATTCTAGCCTGTTCTCCAAATAGGTAAGCTGAGGTTCAGAGATCTAAGCTCATAATCACATGAATTTTGGAAGAACTGGTACCAGAACCTAGATCTTTTGATGGGGACCCCAATGCACTTTCCATGATTGCAAACTCTTGTCACATTTTCTAAATTGTATTTTCACTAAAAGCACAAACCATTAAATTAGAACTGCATTTCAAGAGGATACTTTTGAGCCAATTTTAAGCCACAGAATGAATTATATACATTAAAATACATATGTGCACTGAGACACATGTCCCCATCTCCTGCCCCGCCCCACCCACCCACACAAGGCAGATGCAAACCAGAAAACCAGAGATAGGAAACAACCATCAAGGGGCAGGGTGGGGGGAGGTTTTTGTTTGTTGTTGTTGTTTTTTTTTTTGTTTGTTTGTTTTTTTTTTTTGCTTGTTTGAACCCAGTAGGTAAAGGAAAAGAGGGGAAGGGATGGGGAAGGAGAAAGAGAAGGAAGGAAGACATGTTCCATTTATGACTTACTTTAAGCCAACATTGTGCAGTCCTTGATTGCCTGAGAATTTGGCTCTTAGTTTCTTCCTTTCTAGGCTCTATGCCTTCTTTTCTGTGGCTTGGATCCACTGTTTCCAAGTAATCCAAGAGAAGGTGCAAACCTGCTTTTGTAGCATGAGGCTTTAACTATAAAAGCCAGTTCTTCTGCCTCCGGATTTTAGCCTTAAGATGTCATCTTTACATAATGCAGAGGCAAAGTTATCTCTGAGTGAGGAGTAGAAGTTGAGAAACCAAAGTGTTCTCATCAGATAGGATGGTTTTACAATTAACGCTCTCAGAGATGCACCTAGACTTCACCCTTTTATTTCTGAAGCTGAGAGCTGCCTTTCCACTAGAAATGAATTACTAACATCTTTTGTTCTATTGCCACCTCCATTTCAGCCCATTTCTTTTTTCTAAAAAGCCATTTCTTACCCCCACTAAACTAACCATAGTGCTTGCACTGAAACAGAATATTATTCAAACATAAATAAATAGATAAACTGTGGTTTATCAGAGAACTTAACAATCTTACATAAAATGTTGGCTTCACTTAAGTCTTGATTATTCTTATTATCCACATTAAGGATCCTGATTTATATAACCCTATAATCTCCACAAATGAAGGCTGATCTCTCAGATGAATTTTAAATTTTTTCTTTTTTTTTTACTATCCTGCCTCCTTTACTTATTTCTTGACTTCCTATATTATTAGCCTTTTATTTTTAAAAAATTAACTTTTTGCTTTCTTATACATGTTGCTTACAAGGCATAGAAAAACATCAGAACTGTTAACAGACTTTGTACTACTCTCAAGTCACTGAGTACCCAAAGTAACAAGAGGTGCTGTGCTTCCTCTGCCTTTATGATCATTGTTTCTGCTCTTACATGAATGGGTAGACCTAGAAATCTTTTCCTGTGTGTAAAAGTGTGACTTGTCATTTCTATAACTGGAATAATATGGTGATATAATCCATCTATATAAGCTATGAACATTTTGCATCTCCTCAGTAAATCGTATATATTTCTATCCAAATTTGTTTGAACAATTTCCAGCTCTGTGTTTAAGCAACACCTCTAGACATGATTTCTAGGTACCTACTAAGAATATTATACCAGCATTCTGTCTTTAAGACCTAGAAATTGAAGCACAAAGAGGACTTAAGTATGAGAACAACCCTAGGGCCAGCGCCGTGGCTCACTAGGCTAATCCTTCGCCTGCAGCGCCGGCACACCGGGTTCCAGTCCCGAATGGGGCACTGGATTCTGTCTTGGTTTCTCCTCTTCCAGTCCTCTGCTGTGGCCTGGGAGTGCAGTGGAGACCAGGAAGAAGCACCTGGCTCCTGGCTTTGGATCAGTGCAACGCTGGCCTTAGTGGCCACTTGAGGGATGAACCAATGGAAAAAGGAAGACCTTTCTCTCTGTCTAACTCTGCCTGTCAAAAAAAAAAAAAAAAAAAAAGAACAACCCTGGTGATATCACTTACTGTAAATGTTCTTAGAAAAAAATCCTCCTAACAGATTTTTTTAGTAGTAAAATTAGAAAACTCTTAATGAAGTTGAGATCACTACCAGTTCACCTACACTGTCAGATACACATAATTAATTGACCTGAATGTACTTTTTAAGTTAAAAACATCCCATTTTTTCAAACTGACTTCATAAACAACCTTCTAAGTTCCTATATTTTCACAGAAAACTGCAAGGGCTCATGGATGATGGGAACTTGAAACCAACAATGAAATAATTCTCTGGCAGGCTTTATCTGTAACAGTATCCCTTGCATTCAGGGGATAACAAATAGGGCTATGATGTTGCTGCCTAAGAATTTTAATCCCTTTAAAGATGACCTGTGAATGACCAGCGATGTTAAAATGATGGATTAGAAACTTAGCTCTGGGGAAGAAAATTTCTCAAAACAAAATCCATGATGATATAAAAGAATTTCAAATCTATTAAAATTTTCATAATAGTAAATTAATAAAATTCCTTGAATATCATGCAAATCACTTGTTAAACAAATCATTTATGAAACCAGTTTGTTTTTACCAGGAAATCTTTTTTTTATTTTATTTGACAGATAGAGGTAGATAGTGAGAGAGAGAGAGACAGAGACAAAGGTCTTCCTTCCGTTGGTTCACCCCCAAAATGTCCGCCACGGCTGGCACTTCGCAGATCCAAAGCCAGGAGCCAGGAGTTTCCTCCTGGTCTCTCAAGTGGGTGTAGGGGCCCAAGCACTTGGGCCATCCTCCACTGCCCTCCGGGGCCACAGCAGAGAGCTGGACTGGAAGAGGAGCAACCAGGACTAGAACCCAGGGCCCATATGGGATGACGGCACCGCAGGCAGAGGATTAGCCAAGTGAGCCACGGCACTGGCACTCAGGAAACCTTTTATTTAAGGTATACAAACTTCATGCATTTCATAAATACACCTTTAGAAACACAGTGATTCTTCCCACACTACCTGCCCTCTCACCTGCACTCCACCCTTCTTCCTCCTCTCCTATTTCCATTCTTATTTTTTACTAAGATCTATTTTCAATTAACTTTATAGACATAATATTAACTCTATACTAAATAAAGAATTCAACAAATAGTTGAAAAAAAAAAAACTGTTCCTCAACAATTGAGAAAAGGATTGTTCAAAGTCATCACATCTCAAAGTGTCAATTTCACTTCAACAGAATATCTTTTAGGTACTCCAGAGCATACTACATATGTGGATACTGGACATGTGATTTATAAACCCTAGCCCTTTGTTTGCCTGTTAGAAGAAACACCCAATTTGGTATTTTTCTGGTATTTATTTACATTGTCTTTGCCTTTCATCGTAGAGCATAAAACTCTATGAAAACCATTGTATTTTGTGCAGTGGAGCAGGAAGTCATTTCCTCTGACTATGGAGAGGAGAATTCAATTAAGAATACTTTCAGAAACATTTCAAATGCAAATAATCACTTTCAAATGTTATTATTAAAAGAAGAAATTAAAAATCTTTAACCCATTGTGAAGAAATGAGTTCTAGGCCGGCGCCGCGGCTCACTAGGCTAATCCTCCGCCTAGCGGCGCCGGCACACCGGGTTCTAGTCCCGGTCGGGGCGCCGGATTCTGTCCCGGTTGCCCCTCTTCCAGGCCAGCCCTCTGCTGTGGCCAGGGAGTGCAGTGGAGGATGGCCCAGGTGCTTGGGCCCTGCACCCCATGGGAGACCAGGAAAAGCACCTGGCTCCTGGCTCCGGCCATCGGAACAGCGCGGGCGAGGGCGGAGGGCGCCAGGAGCAGAGGACATAGGAGGGTGAACCAAGGAGAAGAGGACCTTTTTTTTGCTTTCTTCTCAGGTCCATCGGCCTGCAAAAAAAAAAGAAAAAAAAAAAAAAAAAGTTCTTTAGGAAAAGGTCCTTAGGGAACAATCCAAGGGGGGTTTTCTTTTTCTGAACGGCAGGGAAAGTCCTTTCGGGGGAGAGAAAAGGCCTACCTTAATTTAGGAACCCGCACCCGCTTGGGTTTGCAGAAGCATGAACTTGAAGAGAGGGGAGTGATTTTTTTTTGACAGGCAGAGTGGACAGTGAGAGAGAGAGAGACAGAGAGAAAGGTCTTCCTTTGCCGTTGGTTCACCCTCCAATGGCCATTGTGGCCGGTGCGCTGCGGCCAGTGCACCGCGCTGATCCAAAGCCAGGAGCCAGGTACTTATCCTGGTCTCCCATGGGGTGCAGGGCCCAAGCACTTGGGCCATCCTCCACTGCACTCCCTGGCCACAGCAGAGAGCTGGCCTGGAAGAGGGACAACCAGGACAGAATCCAGCGCCCTGACTGGGACTAGAACCCGGGGTGCCGGCGCCACAGGCAGAAGATTAGCCTATTGAGCCGCGGCGCCGGCCTGTGAGTTGCATTTTTAAACTTTTTTTTCGCATTTTTAGACATCTCTTGAATATGCGACATAACAGAAGACCACTGGATTATCACAACCACTTCCATAATTAACCTGATACGATGCCCTGCTCTCCTTCAAGCACAGAAGAAAATCTAGCTTCACACAAATATGTACTATGGAAAAAGAGGGTATGTTTTAATAACCTTTTTATAAAACTGTGGATATTTTTTGATACTACACAGAAACCTAACAAGGAGTTGTTTCTTAAGGTTTCAGTGCAATGTGGAATCTGAAGTTTCAATAATGTTTTCAAGCTTTTATATGAAAATCTATTGGTCTATTTATCATTTGAATGGTGACTTTTTATTCATGCATGATTTTGTACCATAATACATATTTGTAATTTGGAAAACATTGATTCACAGAGTTATGCAAGTCTTGAAAATGTTGACACAGTTCATTATCACAACTGTTAATATTTTATTGCCATCAATCTTATCAGAGAAAGGCTTTAAATGTTGAGAAACTGTCAAGCTCATAACAATAAATACAACTTTTCCAAATTCTCATTTTTTCTTGGAAGCTGAAATTTTGTCATTGGCAAAAACATTTATTTCCTTTGATATAGTCACTCAGTTATTTTTTAAGTTTATTTATTTTTAAATGTATTGTATTTATTTGAAAGGGAGAGTGAGGGATGGAGATAACAAAAAAGAGAGTACTCAAGAGAGAACATCCATTGGCTGATTCACTCCCCAAATGCCCACAATAGCCAGGGTTGAGCCAGGCTGAAACCAGGAGCCTGGAACTCTATCTGAATTCCTCAGTTGAGTGGCAGGGACCCAACTATTTGAGTCATTACTACAGCCTCCCAGGATCTGCATTTTGAAGGCTGGATTGGAAGCAGAGGCAAGACTCAATTCCAGGCACTCTGATATGGGATATGGGTGTTCCAATCAGCAACTTTACTGGCTGTACCCAAATGCCCCCCCACACACACACAATTAATTATTAAGAAGATATCATACCGGGGCCAGTGCCATGGCTCACTTGGATAATCCTCTGCCTGCGGTGCCATCATCCCATATGGGCCCCGGGTTCTAATCCCAGTTGCTCCTCTTCCAGTCCAGCTCTCTTGTGGCCCAGGAGGGCAGTGGAGGATGGCCCAAGTGCTTGGGCCCCTACACCCACATAGGAGACCAGGAAGAACCACCTGGCTCCTGGCTTTGGATCTGCGAAGTGCCAGCGTGGCAGACATTTGGGGAGTGAACCAATGGAAGAAAACCTTTCTCTCTGTCTCTCCCTCTCACTGTCTATAACTCTACCTGTCAAAAAAAAAAAAAAAAAAGATATCATACCATTCTATTTAGGATATGAATCCTCTACATACATCCCATATTCTTTATAAGTTGAAAAAAAAAAGGAGTTGACTTAATCCCTATTTGTACTTTCCTTTCATCTCATAGCAAAGATTCTGGGACTTAATAAGACCTGCACAAATATTTATGAACTTAAACTCAATTGTCACCACTATGAATTGAAACTACTGTAAGGATTATGTCCCTTTTTCCCCAAGAAAATTTTTATTTAAATCTATCCTCTTATTTTACCATCCAGCTTAGTATTTTCAACCTGACTTAAACAAGCAGTATGAATCATTGCATTAAAATGCTATTCAATTGGATGGGCCTGTACTTCATACCTCCAATTCCCTATAAAATATCACCTAGAAATGTGAGACTTCTAGGAGCACATATAAAGACAACCATACGTAACTTATCTTTCTATTCCAGAACTTTCCTAAATGTAAAACAATTTTTGCCTCCTGTTCAGAACAATATTCAGAGTCCTGACAAAATGATATGCACCTAGGGAGAGTTAAACCCTTCTAGTTTTGGAGGTAGAAGGAGCATTAATCAACACTTTGGCCATGCAGTCTACTTGGTGATCCAACCAATTAGGCCATTGCCTGTGCCGGTTTTCAAGATGGAGCAAACTGCCAAACTATGAGGCTGTCAATCAGCAGGGTCACCGGGAAATGTGGAAATGTACAAATTAAGTGCCTATGGAATAGGTGTGGGAAATACAGGCCAAATAGTCCTTCCATGCTGTGTTAAGAGAATGGTCTGAATGCTTTTGCTAATAGAATCCTATTTTATAAATCATCAAAAATGTATTTATGGGGTTGGTGCTGTGGCCCAGTGGGTTAAAGCTCCAGCCTGTAGTGCCCGCACTACATTTAGGCACTGGTTTGAGTTCCAGCTGCTCCACTTCCAATCCAGCTCCCTGCTAATGTGCCTGGAAAAGCAGTGGAAGATGGCCCAACTCCTTGTGTCCCTGCACCCATATGGGTGACCCAGAAGCAGCTCCTGGTCCCTGGCTTCAGGTTGGCTCAGCTCCAGCCATTGCAGCCACTGGGGGAGTGAACCAGCAGAAGGAAGACCTCTCTCTGTCTCTACCTCTCTCTGTAACTGTCTTTCAAATAAGTAAGTCTTTTTTAAAAATGTATTTATTTTGTTGTCCATGCCCTTTAAAAAAGATTTCAATAAATTCTTTTGGCAGCAGTGAGCCAAAATTCAAGAGTACTTAGTGAAAAATTAAGTACTGATTTTCTGCTTTTCAAAAAAAGCTAATGTTAAAAAGTATCACTTGGAAAAGGTTAAAATTTCCTATCCAACAATGAGCCATAATTGCTAACTACATTGAAACCAAATCATCTGCTCCAAAAGTTAATGTCATTTCTAGATTAATTTTCCCAGAGATCATGAATTAACATCCACAGCCACAGAAAGCACTTACATGCCACTCTTTAAAGTATGACTTTTCATTTGGATCAAATGAATTTACTTCTAAATTTGCTCATTTTTAGTTTCTAAGTTTTCTTGATACCTTGTAAAAGGTGAAGTAATTATTAATTAAATTTAGAAGTGCTCAAGACCCTAATTTCTTTGTATGCCTTACACAATAACACTAAACTTAGTTGCAGGTATTCAGAATTTCTTATAAGTATTAAAATCAGAGTACTCAATAAATGGAGTGCCCCAAATTTAAGCTCTTAAAGTGTTTAATAAGTTGCAAGTACTGACCATAAGATTTGCAAATAAGATGACATTCAATTTTTTACTAAGGCAAAAAACAGGCAAACACATTAAAGAAAGTTCAAAATCAAAAGGCTTGATTTTGGAAAGTTGGTTGTAGATTTTTGGATTTTTTTTTTTTTTTTTTTTGAAAGGCAGAGTGGACAGTGAGAGAGAGAGACAGAGAGAAAGGTCTTCCTTTGCCGTTGGTTCACCCTCCAATGGCCGCCACAGCCAGCGCGCTGCGGCCGGCGCACCACGCTTATCCGATGGCAGGAGCCAGGTGCTTCTCCTGGTCTCCCATGGGGTGCAGGGTCCAAGGACTTGGGCCATCCTCCACTGCACTCCCGGGCCACAGCAGAGAGCTGGCCTGGAAGAGGGGCAACCAGGACAGAATCCGGCGCCCCGACTGGGACTAGAACCCGGTGTGCCAGCGCCGCAAGGCGGAGGATTAGCCTAGTGAGCCGCGGCGCTGGCCAGATTTTTGGAATATCTTGACTTATAAATCGATGCTTGAGGAACTGTCTATTCTTAAGTGGAAAAATAATTTTTTAAAGATTTATTTTTATTTATTTGAAAGTCAGAGTTACACAGAGAGAGGAGAGGCAGAGAGAGAGAGAGAGAGAGAGAGAGAAAGAGGTGTCTTCCATCCATTGGTTCACTCCCCAGATGGCTGCAACAGCTGGAGCTGTGCCTATCTGAAGCCCGGAGCCAGGAGCTTCTTCTGGGTCTCCCAAGTGGGTGCAGGGGCTCAAGGACTTGGGCCATCCTCTACTGCTTTCCCAGGCCATAGGAGACAGCCAGATCGAAAGAGGAGCAGCTGGGACTAGAACCGGCGTCCATATGGGATGCTGGTACTTCAGGCCAGGGCTTTAACCCACTGTGCCACAGCGCCGGCCCCGGAGAAAAGAATTTAAATTTTGTAAATGATTCAAAAGAATCATGAACAATTTACTTGATGAAGTTTTTGCTAATAAAAATATTTATTAAGATGGGGGGTTAGGGAGAGGTTGATTAATGGATACAAATTTACAGTTACATAGGAATAAATGCTAGTGTTCTACAGCACAATAGGGTGATTATAGTTAACAGTAATTTATTATATATTTTGAAATAGAAGAGAGAATTTTTAATGGTCTCATCACAAAGAAATGACAAATGTTTGAGGTGTTGGATATATTAGTTACCTTAATTTGATCATTACACATTTTATGATATCTATATCACCCTGTACCCCATAAATATGTGTAATTACTTTATCAATTAAAAAAACATTGAAAAGTATACCCTGAATGGAGGCAAAAATACAGTCAGTGCCTATGAAAGAAAATTCTGTGGCTGAAATATTAGTATATTTCAATTCCAAGCAGTAATAATTGAGAATATTCTCAATTTAGGCTTAATCACATTTAGTTTTTTTTTTTTAATCTGAGCAGTTACTTCATAACTGTAGAGAATATTGTCATATTAACAATAGTATGTTGGGGGGCCGGCACCGTGGCTCACTTGGTTGATCCTCCACCTGTGGCGCTGGCATCCCATGTGGGCGCTGGGTTCTAGGCCCAGTTGCCCCTCTTCCAGTCCAGCTCTCTGCTGTGGCCCGGGAGGGCAGTGGAGGATGGTTCAAGTGCTTGGGCCCCTGCACCCATATGGGAGACCAGGGGGAAGCACCTGGCTCCTTGCTTCGGATCTACACAGCGCCAGCCGTGGCGGCCATTTGGGGAGTGAACCATTGGAGGGAGGACCCTGTCTATAACTCTACCTGTCAAATAAATTAATAAATAAATAATAGTTTGTTGGGACCAGAGTTATAGCATAGCCAGTAAGGTGCTGGGTTGTGTCTCAGTTGGACCACTTTCAACCCAGCTCCCTGCTAATGGCCTGGAAGAAACAGCTGAAGATAACCCAGGTACTAGGGTCCCTACACCTACATGGGAGACCTGCATGAAGCTCCTGGTTTCTGGCCTCAGCCTAGCTCAGCCCTGGCCATTGTGACCATTTGGGGAGTGAACCAGTGAATAGAAGATATTTCTGTTTCTGTCTGTCTGTCTCATTCTGTAACTTTGACATTAAATAAATTAATGAAAAAAGTATGCTAAAAAGGAAGAAAC